TTACATAACATACAGGACATTAAAAGTTAATTGGGTGCAATGTTGTTTTGGACCCCACTGATCCCAACTGCATTTGTGTTCCACAGAAGAAAGTAAGTCAAATAAGTTTAGCGCGACATGAGGTTGAGCAAGTGATGACCACTGAATTTCCCTGATCCCTTAGAGTTTAGAAATGTTTAGGGAAAGATCAGAACATCATTACTTGTAATCACAGATGCAATGAATCAAAGAGGCATGTGGAAGAGAAAATGATACATGCCACTAACAGGACAACCACATATATCATTATGAGAGTGAATGACAACCAGAATAAGAGGGTTAAGGATTAAATTTAACTATTTAAATGTTAGAAGTGAATATATATATATATATATATATATATATATATATATATATGTGTGTGTGTGTGTGTGTGTGTGTGTGTGTGTATGGAGTTGTACACCATCTAGGGAATTTCACGTTGGGAAATGGCTTAACAGTGGTTCAAACAAACACACTGCCAGACCTACAAGCACTTAAAAATGTAGACAAGTTAAAACAACCAATAGCTCAAAGTACCATGACCATTACTTGTTTTAAGTGCATACCAACTGCTGTTGGAAGTGAAAGTAGAGCATGTCAGCAGACTGCTGTGACTGCAGCGATGAGGACGCAGATACATTACTATATAAATATAACACAGGGGGAAAGTAACTCAGTCTCAGCCTTCCAAAACAGATTGGCAACCTTTAGATACACAGTAACATCCTCTGTCCACTGGGAGAACAAATCAGTGAAAAGAAAATGGTAGCAGTCAGGAAATAGGACAGTATTTATGTAATGTAGAAATATGTGTCTTAAGGTCATACAGCTCTGTTTGCATGTCATAATGGAATGTTCATTTGACTATTTAAGATGTTTAGCTTTTGGAAAGTACATAGAAAAAATATTTGTATACAGAGCATTTTCCATCTGCAAAATTTGTATTGGTGTGTGGCTGTATGCATATTATGTGTTTTGAATATATATTTTGCTTTTGCTTACATTCAAAAAGTTTCATGACCTACTTTGGCCACATAAAAAGAAAAAGCCCGGACAACTTCCTGCATGCCTTATCCTTTTAATTGCTTTCAAAACAAACAAACTTCTCTTCCTGAGCAGTATGCTACTTATCTTCCAGGCATGGAAATTAGCTATAGAGAAATGTCATAAGACAAAACAATGTTGGTGGATTTATAGGTTTCTTAGAAACTGTTTAAAGTCTCTGTTATTAATTTATAACAAAAAGCACAAACAAGCAGATAATGATAAAAAAATGCAGTGGCTGCATGTTTAATACTTTGAGTTTACTACCTAACTCTGGAACAGATTTATTGATATTGACCTTTTTTAATTCAAACAGGCTTTTTTTAATTCCCTGCAAATATGAGAATAACAACAGTAGTTGTGCTAAATATAATTATTCTGAAAGTAACCTCTCAAAACTATTAAATTGAACTTTTCAGTACTTAACATTTAATCACCCTAAATCTCCCACAGAACTACATGAATTGTGAATGTGTGGCATCAATTGGCTCTCCAGGCTCTGCGTTTCCAGGATCATGTGGAAATAAGTGTTGGAATCGGCTCATTCCCTTCATGATCCTGTCCTCCATTACATGCTTTGTGGCTTCACTTTCCCACACTACATCTTTTATGATGATCCTCAGGTATTCCCTCTTTTTTCAATTCCCTTTATTTTATGTAAATCTGATCTGTTAAAAGTGACCATCTAGTGTTACCTCTTTATGTTTTATAAATATCTGACAGATACATATCTGTATGTCTGTTTTTTCTAAGTTTAATATGTTTTATATTAATACTCTGTACATAACTCAATTAAGTTTTGAGTTATGGTTTGAAAACGTGTTTTTGGGGTATAGAGTGATTATGTAATTTCATAATTTTGGTCAAGTGAAGAGAAAATTGAATGAAAAATAAATTTATGAGAAGAACAATGGAATGTTGCTACTTTAAAAACTAATGGCAGTGAACGTTGTGGCATGATTTGTCTAAAAGGAAGCGTGTCAAGGTGAACTTGCTTAGCAGGTTGCAGCTTGTTGTATTGCAACACTTGCATAGTTGCTACCTACAGCATAATAAAATGTATTTATTCTATAATGCTAATAATTTTTCCCTCTAAACTAAATACTCTGGTTGACCTTTTAATACTGCACTGATTAATGTTTTCACCCACTTTGTCTTTTAAAATGTTGTGCATCTGCCATGCATCTATGCCCTTCAGCTATAATACGTCATAGTATCATTATACCATAGTCAAAAACCTGCCTGTGCAGGCCAGTGCACATCAGTGTAACAGACCACAGGCACTTACTTTCGGAAAAAGCCTAAAAGATATGTTAAAGAAGACTTCTTTCAAAGTGCTCATACGCTGATGTTCATAAAATTTGACTGAAATGTCTTATGCAAACAATGTTGTAAAATTAAGTGTGATTTGCTGGCTTTTGTTCAGGACTGTGACTCCAGAAGACAAATCTTTTGCCTTAGGAATTCAGTTCATGCTGTTTCGAGTGCTTGGTAAGCAAAAGAAGTTGATCATGCAGAACGGACACATGTCATATTTAATCAGAAACATGTTAGAACCAAAACCTGGTATGAGGGCACTGAGTTAGTGAACAAAACAAAAGCAAGAATATCAAAGCATAATAATAACAATTTCAGGCAGTAGTAGTGAGAGCCTTAGTACATCAGTTCACACGCATGCTAAGCCATGATGCTTATGTGCTTAAAACAGGTTTAAATCTGGTCTGCACTATGTCTAATCTATTAAAGAGGCAAAATCTAAAAAATAAAATAAGAAAGCGATGGTGAAATTAAAGTGTTTCGAAATGTTTACGGGCATATTCAGACCTGCCCTGTTTAGCTTAGTGTTATCTGTCTTTGTTTATACAACAAGTTTTCCCAGTATTGTGAAAGTTGCAGTGATATCTCAAGAAAAAATGTAATAACTCACCATCATAACAGATATCATATAATTAACAGGAATAGGTGTGTTAAGACAATATTTGAGCTTTTCAGTTATGAGTCTCGTAGTCTTTTTGTGGTGTCTTATGTAACTCATGATTGTGTATGGTATTGATCGACACAATGGTGAGTTATATAATTTGTGCTGAGTCTGGTAATGTTTTGTGAAAAGATAAATTAACAAGGAACTTTCATTCCCTGACAGCATTCCTTCCAGCTCCAGTGCTGTACGGCCGTGCCATTGATACCGCATGCATTCTGTGGGGAAAGAAATGCAATAAGACAACTTCATGTAGCTACTACGATTTAGAACTTTTCAGACACAGGTAAAATTCAAAATGAATCTGCTATGAAAAGTAGAGTGTGCCTTATATTATATGTATTACTATGGATTTTATAACAAAAGAAATAATACCATGCCAAAAAAAAAAAATTACTGTTCTTAATTGGTTTATACGGGTCTAGTTGGCCTCCCATCTGGCCAAGGTTGGAAAAGTGTCTGGCTGTCTGCCCAAAGAAAGCCCCCCAAAAATTTAAGTTTTTTTTTTTTTTTTTTTCTTTCAGCAGGGTAAACTTACATATGTTAAATCTTTTTTGGTTCACAGATTCCTGGGACTCCAGATATTCTTTATATTTGGTGGTTTCGTCTGTTTTTTCCTGTCTTTTATGGTGCTTAGAAGAACAAATTCAGCGCAGGAACACAATGAGAAAATGAGCAATCGGACCAAAAGTGAAAGTTCCCAAGAAATGAAAGATGCCAAACAGATGTTGAACAATTCTAATGAACACAGCAATACACAAAATATCCTTAGAGAGTAAAGACAGTAGTGAAAAGAATTATGGGAATGTCTTTTTGTGGGGTGGAAGTTTAGTAAGGCTTAAGAAACCTGGAGTTTCTCAGCTTACCGTAAGCGCAACTACTCAAATAGACCAAGTTTGAGACGGGGTGAAACCAGACTCTGAACACACACATTTCTTCGAACAGTTGCAAAACAGCCAGACATACTAATGCAAGGAAATAACGTCCACTTTAAAATACATGCTATTGTTTATGTATTATCTCTGCCAGTAAGCCTGAAATATTTTCTTTACTTATCCTTGGAGTTTATATATTTTGTCTGTGAGCACTCAGTTGTACTTTACACATGTTATATGCTAAAAATGTGAAATTGTGAGTAGCCTTATTTGAACTCACTTTTTAGTGTAGACAAAGAGCCAAGTATGTTGATTATAAATAGACTTTCTGTCATGGTGTGAATTCTGTGGTGACTTCTTTTTTGTTTTGTTTTACTGTGATGTGTTTATGACAAGTTTGTTAGTAATTTTGTAGTGCACACTAACACATTTTGTTTTGGTTGCTGTTGATGTAACGTGTTAGATCTGTTTACATTTCATGGTGTAAGAAAGATCTATTCATATTGGTGCATCTGAAGCTTTTTATATGAATTGTATTGTACTATGGTACATTTACGAATAGCCCGTCACATGAATATATGTGACATATATATTCACATAAATATACCGTATGTGTTTAATCAACTAAGATTTTATATCACTTGTATATGTTCTATTACATCTACATTTATGTATGTTTTGTTGAAACAAAAATACAAATTTAATATTTCATAAATGGCTTGTTTGATGTGTTTTGATTGAACTAAAATGTTGTGTACAATGCCCTACATACTTACAGGCCAAATAATCACATGTAAAATTATCAAAATATTACAGTTTCTGTTTCTAATCTCATAATAATATTTGAAGGGCATTGATTTTAAATAAAAATATTAATCAAATAGCTGTTTATGTGTTTGAGTACGCCTGCTTTTTAAAGATGGAGAAAACGTTTAAAAGATGCATGCCTCCATGCCGGAGGTTTATTACCACAGAGGACACACATGATCTTTGTGTCATCCATCTCAGTGTGGAGCACACTCAGTCAGCTCTTGAGGGAACTGGCTGTTGTAGCATTTGGACCAATCAGACACAATTTTTCATTAGATTTAACAAATCAATTATAATAATAATAATAATATATTATTAATTAGATTAACAAATAATCACAGACCCCTCACCCAATAAACATACTGGGTGCCAGCATGTCTGTGACTGATCCCAGGCCCCTGGTTACCATGGCAACCAGGACACCTCAGCCAGATCAGATAAACTTTTACGACCTAAAAGTATGTAGAGAGAATCTTCCTCCTATTCAGTTCTCTCTGAAACAGACACATACTACCATAGGAAATGACTTATTACATTAATCCATAGACAAATTATTCTATGACTTTCCTATCATGCATATCCCCAGGTCTTTGTGTATGAAATATTGTGTATATCCCCAGAGCGTCCCACTTTCTAATCAGTTGCCGAAGTTTAGTAAGGCTTAAGAAACCTGGAGTTTCTCAGCTTACCGTAAGCGCAACTACTCAAATAGACCAAGTTTGAGACGGGGTGAAACCAGACTCTGAACACACACATTTCTTCGAACAGTTGCAAAACAGCCAGACATACTAATGCAAGGAAATAACGTCCACTTTAAAATACATGCTATTGTTTATGTATTATCTCTGCCAGTAAGCCTGAAATATTTTCTTTACTTATCCTTGGAGTTTATATATTTTGTCTGTGAGCACTCAGTTGTACTTTACACATGTTATATGCTAAAAATGTGAAATTGTGAGTAGCCTTATTTGAACTCACTTTTTAGTGTAGACAAAGAGCCAAGTATGTTGATTATAAATAGACTTTCTGTCATGGTGTGAATTCTGTGGTGACTTCTTTTTTGTTTTGTTTTACTGTGATGTGTTTATGACAAGTTTGTTAGTAATTTTGTAGTGCACACTAACACATTTTGTTTTGGTTGCTGTTGATGTAACGTGTTAGATCTGTTTACATTTCATGGTGTAAGAAAGATCTATTCATATTGGTGCATCTGAAGCTTTTTATATGAATTGTATTGTACTATGGTACATTTACGAATAGCCCGTCACATGAATATATGTGACATATATATTCACATAAATATACCGTATGTGTTTAATCAACTAAGATTTTATATCACTTGTATATGTTCTATTACATCTACATTTATGTATGTTTTGTTGAAACAAAAATACAAATTTAATATTTCATAAATGGCTTGTTTGATGTGTTTTGATTGAACTAAAATGTTGTGTACAATGCCCTACATACTTACAGGCCAAATAATCACATGTAAAATTATCAAAATATTACAGTTTCTGTTTCTAATCTCATAATAATATTTGAAGGGCATTGATTTTAAATAAAAATATTAATCAAATAGCTGTTTATGTGTTTGAGTACGCCTGCTTTTTAAAGATGGAGAAAACTTTTAAAAGATGCATGCCTCCATGCCGGAGGTTTATTACCACAGAGGACACACATGATCTTTGTGTCATCCATCTCAGTGTGGAGCACACTCAGTCAGCTCTTGAGGGAACTGGCTGTTGTAGCATTTGGACCAATCAGACACAATTTTTCATTAGATTTAACAAATCAATTATAATAATAATAATAATATATTATTAATTAGATTAACAAATAATCACAGACCCCTCACCCAATAAACATACTGGGTGCCAGCATGTCTGTGACTGATCCCAGGCCCCTGGTTACCATGGCAACCAGGACACCTCAGCCAGATCAGATAAACTTTTACGACCTAAAAGTATGTAGAGAGAATCTTCCTTCTATTCAGTTCTCTCTGAAACAGACACATACTACCATAGGAAATGACTTATTACATTAATCCATAGACAAATTATTCTATGACTTTCCTATCATGCATATCCCCAGGTCTTTGTGTACGAAATATTGTGTATATCCCCAGAGCGTCCCACTTTCTAATCAGTTGCCCTGTACATTATGAAGAGGAGAAAGTTGATGTCAATGTGCTTCCCTCATGTTTCTGTAAAATTAAGAAGCACAAGGTTGAGGTGGGAAATCTCAAGTTGCTTGTGTACCGCACTTTTTCCTGCCACTTTTCTTAGTATTAGAGATTACCACATGTCTGGCTTCATTGATACAATTTGTATCTGATGCTGCATCTTTCAGTTTCCTAACTTATGCCCAGGGGTCACCAGACTCGGTCCTGGAGGACCGGTGTCCTGCAGAGTTTAGCTCCAACTTGCTTCAAAACACCTGCCTGTAAGTTACAAGTATACCTAGGAAGACCTTGATTAGCTAGTTCAGGTGTGTTTGATCAGGGTTTTAGCTAAACTTGGACCAAGTTTGGTAACCCCTGCTCATGCCTATTACATGGGCTGATATAGAGGAAGAGTAATGCACCTTGAGTGGACGTTGTCACCATTAGTGCCCCACTCACTATCTAGCCCTCCAGTTTTATAGCGGGAGGTAATTGTGTATTTATGCCCCCTCAGTAGAACTATGGCACTAGAACGTTAGGTGATGAGGGCAGCTTTGTAAGGGTAGTTGAGAGAGAGTATGGAGCTGTGGACTTATAACGCCTAAGCGTGTGTGGCTCAGTGGCACATGCTAATAAAATCCCACAGTACTAGGACATTTCACCATTTTAGATATCTCTCCTCTCTGTGTGTAAGTGGTTGGATTTTTCAACAAATCATTTAAATCATTTACTAAACTGATTCGTTCAAACACCCTGAATCGTTATATTCGTGAATTAAATGGAACTACTCAAAGACTTTGGCGGTTAATTTTGTTTTGGCTTCGTTTGGAACTATTTTCGTAAAAGGGGCAAAGAAGCACAAAGTACCTAGAAATATTGCTTCTGAAATTTAGTGTTAACTTGTAAGATAAACTCTATGGTACTTTGCTCTTGAATAATCATTACCATCACTAAACAAAATATATAAGTATTACATATTACATAGAATATATGTAAGCAATATGAAAATAACGACCTCTTAGGTAAAATTAATTCAATATTGTAACAAACATCAGGTTAAATGTTTAACTTTGCCTGTAGGACTAAATTGTGCAACGTATCTTGGTTGACTAGTTTAACTGAGCCCTTGCTAGGCTTGTTTAACCAAATGTCCTGTCCTATGTTTACACAGTTTTGAGGTTGAAATCTAACTTCATTGGATTGTTTTTAACATATTGTAGTCTCTCTTAGAAGAGGCTGTTTTCACGGAAGCAGCGATACATTGTTATTCAGCTTCTGTTGCACTTAATCACTTCAACATTCCATAACTGTACTCCTACTCAATGGGATGAGGGCCAGGACAGCAAGGACACAATAAGAAATGGATCCACTTTCACAGCTGCTGACCTATGTTGAACTTTTGCTGAACAAAAACTGGTATTCAAAACACTTGGAAAGATGCGGAGAATGGAGGATGGTACATAATGACTTCCTGTGATCATTCCAAGCACATACTTTTTTTTATCTTAATGTCATCTGCCGATGAAGCACCCATTTATGGCTGTCAGTGGTGCAGATACTTGTATGACTAAAATAGGTAAAAACATAGTGATCAAGATAACAGACAACAGGGTAGACATGACATTTCTTTTGAGATCTTTCCTGAAATGCATGTTTGGAATTCATGCTTTTATCTGCCTGCCTAAAATGGTCTGATATCTCTTCTAAATTAATCTAAGCATGTCAGAGTATAACCAACACAAAGCCTTCCCACACACATAGATAAATAAATTACAAACAAGTCTATTTTAATAAATATAATCTAATTATGACTTCCTTGTACTACCTTGCCTATTTCCCTGATGTTTAGCAGTGTGTGTAATGTTTCCCATGTTAAAATACATATCCACCCAAAAATGAAAATGTGCTGAAAATGTACCCCTCCCCATGTCCATCTAAGATGTACATGTGTTTGTTTCTTCAGTGGAACATATTTGGGGACATTTAGCATTGCACTTGCTCACCAATGGATCCTCTGAATGGCTGCCATCAGAATGAGAGTTCTAACAGATGATAAATGAAGTGTCACAATAATCACAATAATCCACAAGTAATCGACACGACTCCAGTCCATGAATTAAAGTCTTGTGAAGTGAAAAGCTCTGTGTTATTAAACAAATCGATCATTAAGGCTTATATCTATAAACTGTTCACTTCTGGCCAAAATACCAACTCCAGTAAACAAAAAATCCATCCTCTGTTGTACACTTGCATCAAAATAAACCAACATATATATTTAGAATAGTTTTGGACTGTTTTTGCTTGTAAATGGATTAGAGGACAAGACTCGTGTTATGGATTATTGTGATGTTTTTATCAGCTGTTTGGACTCTCATTCTGATGGCACCCATTCACAGCAGATGATGCAAAGGATGTAATGTGAAAATTCTCTAA